TATGTTAAAGTACTTTATTAAGTTAATAAAGTAACAACTGCTATTCCATTTAACTGCCGTTCCATCTATATTTGATATTGTTAGCAATTAATTTTAAATTACACAAGTCAGGATCCCACAAATAAGGTATGACATTTGAATTCAGCTATCAAATAGGGACTTTTTTTGTACTTTATGGTATGCTACTCGCATTTGGCAAAGGTAGCAATTTCTAGTAGCTGCTTTCCAGGACCTGTGAGAAGATTATCAAGAAGCTTCATCTGGGTTTTTCACAGAGGAACCTGGCAGGAAGCCAAAAGGCAACAAGCATATACTGAGAACCTCCAAGGGTGGAAATTGCATAATCTCTCTAAACAGCCTGCTTCACTGCTTGTTTGTAGAAACTTTTTCACTGTGTGAATAGACAAGCAGTGGACTAGCTTATCCAGAGAAGTTATGTAGTCGCCATCCTTGCAGCTTTTCTATACTGACTGGGTAAAGCCCAGAGCAACCTGGTCTGATCATGTAGATACTTAGAACAGAAATGTTCTGATGTCTCTCCCCACCTGAATTATATGTTGATCTTTTGAAAGGTAATACAAAAGATATAATGACAAAGTAATGTAAGTGGCTAATTAAACTAAAAATAGCAATAATTTCCTAATAAAATCCTAGTGAATTCAAAGGAAATGAAGATCTTGTGACAAGAACAAAACCTTGTCACAGGGTGCATTTTCTATAATGTAGCAGCATGAACAAGGCAGTTTAAGATAGACTGTAAGCTTAAAAGCAAATTACAGTTCTTAGTTTTTCAAATCAGTGGCAGGAAAATGCACTTCTGTGAACAGGAATAATGCATAAGCTCTCTGTGCATTGAGTCTGTTAGACAGGTTTAGAGAATTGAAGCTGGGCTTTAGCCTTCTTCTTTTTATCTTAAGGATGCATTTTCTCCAAAGGGAATGTAACTGAAATTCAACTCTCAGGTTAACAATCCCAAAAATTTGAGGTAGCTGAAGAAGTTTACATTTTGACTTTGGGTCTTAAGCTGAAGAGGCATAGTGGATTAAACAGAAGCCTTATGAATTTTTCTTTTTAAAAAAGTATCTTCCTTTATTTTTAAAAGTAATTACTGGCAGTAAGTGTATCACTGCCTGTATAGAAGTAAAATTGCTAAAATGCATTTTCAGTGTATGTGTAGTTTTGTGTATATTATACAATAACAATATGATTGTACTGACTGTATAAACAACTCAGAATAGATAGTGTATGACTCCAATTGCATTTTTAATATAAACATTCATAGTTACTACATCAATGCAAAATGTTAGCAGCAAAATTCTTACCGGAAGACTCCATTTATTAACTAAAAAACTCCATTATTATGGCTGAATATTCTGTAGTTGTAGAGTCTAATTAAAAATAACTATTAGCCATTTTACAGTTTCCATGTTTAGATTGTATTTAAATTCTTCATTCGAGTAAAATAGGTGAGACAAATGCTTTTCAGAAAATTATCATCAAAAGAAAATACAATCTGTGTTTGTACTTCCCTTCCCCAGTGTTATTAGTAGAAGCCATAAAATGCTTCCAAAATTCCATTTCCTCTCAAATTAATGTGATTATTTATCTGGGTTATATTTTATAGAGTTCATTTTCACAGACAAAACATCAATATCTGCAAATACTCACTTACATAGTGTGGCATGCTATGACCATGCACTACGCCACGTTTACTTGCAGATATCTTGCTGAAGTTATTTGTAACTGTATGCATAGATTGAATTCAGTGTAATTTTTAAATCTGTCCTCTTAGAGGTTATGTACTAAATTTCAGCCTTGTAAAATGAAAAAATGTCCTCCCTTTTATTCTTTGAATACTACTTTATGTAAAATAGTCAACAAGCTGCTAGGAAGTAAAATGTAAATGAAGAAGCAAAGGAGGATGGTTTTAACCTGCTATAGGCACTTCTGTAGCAGAAAATAAATCAGGGATACCTTGATTTGTTTGTTGACGAATGAACATCTTACAACTGCAAAGAGAGAGGCTTTATATGGCTGTGAAGATAAAAGCTTATCCTTTGTCCCCACCTTGGTCAGGCAGCTGTTACGGTCCATTGTTCCCACATGTACCATGCAAGAGGTCCTAGTGCTGCCAAGGGACACTTTACTGCCCAACTGTTATGACCAGTGGAAGCTTCACCCCTCAGCTAGTTCCATCAAGGCTTATCAGAAGGTCCTGAATTCACAGAACAGGCCTGGGCGGTGGTGCAGTGTGGGAAGGGAAAAGATGCACAATCACAAATTATCATCTGCGGTGCAGTCCTTCAGCACATAGTATGGCTGTACAACACTTTCATTTTGCTCAGGACTACACCTTGTGTTGGAATGTTTTCATCAGACTTACTTGTTTCTACTTGCTGTTGTAACCTTTATTTGGCACAGAATTTTTCTCTATAGCATCTAGTTTACTGTCACTAGTCCTTGGATGCTATCATAAAATGGCTTTCATTTCGAGAACTCTAAGGTCAAGAATATGTACTATTTAAGATTGTGTTTTCATAGAGATAAATCTTTTTTTTTCCTCTGAAGAACAGAAACATGCATACATTGATTCTAAAAAATGGAATCATCAATCATTGCCAAGTGAGATAAATATTCTTTGAAATGGAACTTATCAGAAAGCCATTTAGAATGTACTAATTTTTTAATGTTCTTAAATGTAGATTGAGAAAATCCTATTTTTACACCATTCCTCTCCAATTCATACTGAGAAATAAATAACAGAGAATTGTCTTGTATTTTTTTGTTGTAGATAAGTGTAGGAGACACTGCTACTGCATTTCTGGAAACTTGGCTCCTGATTTCTCTTACTTTCAAATAGTGCTGCTTTCAGAATGAAACAATTACCAGGAGAATTGAGTAATTTAGATATAACATATATTAACAAAAGTGGTTACATGTGGCAGCATTACATATTTAAGTCAGTATTTCTAGCAACTATTTTTCCTCAGTTAGTAAAGATTCTGGATTTTCTTTGTGTCAGATGCTTAATTTTTCTTCTTACAGTAATATTCTAGTTCAAGAATATTGAAACTGAATTACTAAAGCTCAGAAGAGAATCTTGAGATGTCAAGTCATGTGCATAAATTTTTTTATCTGTGGTCTCAAGCTGGGATATCTGATTGTCCTGTTCTGTCATATGAGACATATTACTTCTTGATCGATTATTTTTCTAATTTCGTCTGTAACTTGGCTCCATTAGAGATAGCTATAACTTATATTCACTTGTATATGGTTTTGTTTCCAATGACCAAGGGTTGGATTTCCTACAGTATAGTATTTTTGAAAAGAAATGATTTGTTACTCACTAAGATTCTGTTAAAGATATTAGACCAAAATTCATAACCACCAATAGCTTTCCAAAAGATCTATTTTCTCTGTCTTTGTCCAGCTGCATCTGCTGACAGTTTCTAGTGAGTTGGCTTCAGACTCTTAAGATCTGCTATTTGCTTCACAAAGTTTGTTATGTTTTGCAAACTTCTACATATTGATCGATGACTTTAATGCAAATTAATTTAAGTTTCTTACTCTACCGTTTTCTTTCTGCACCAGCTGAAATATCATCAATAATACACAGTCCATAAAAAGTCATCCACTGTGGAATAAAGCCTTGCTGGTTTGATTAATACCTCTAGGTTCTTAATACCAATGGAAATGAAGTGCATATAATTTTTTTGACCAGTAAACCCTTGCCAAATTAAATGAACAGTGCCAACAGTGTTTTACATTGTAACTAACTACAGTAGATCTAACTATATAAATGCGACATCAATAGACCATAGTAGAACTTTGTTTAAGGTAAGACAACAAAAATAAAGGAAACACTGAAATGCTACAACATTGTGTGGGATTTTGAGGGTTACACAGTATACACAATACCAACTGAGCAAAAAGTACATAAATGTATTCATTTATATTATTGGGAATAAAATCTCTGTATCTTGTTTTAGAACAGGTATTCTGAAAATGATGTTAGTTGCAGTTATGTTACAGAGATACATTACTTGGGCAACAGTTTTCCATGGTAGCCATATAATTTCTGTCATTACATATCTATATTTACATATAGTTTATAAGAAATTCTTAGTTTACCACTTTCCAAGTCTCATGCTGTATAATTTCTCACTCTGAACTTTCCCTTTTCATATGTGCACATGCACACACACATACACACATACACAGGAGTATTTCAAGAGGTGTTGACAGAGTAGTAGATACTGTAGGTTTCTGTGATTTCCATTAAATTTTAATTAAAAAAATAGTGTAGATCATTCACTAATCTATGAATTATTGCCATAATAACTAAAATTAAATGGAAATTGACAAAATGCATTCTACTATGTGATTTTGTTTTAAATGCTCCAACTGATTAATAGCTATCTGTAAGTTTTGTAGTGATTATCGTAAACTAGTCAGAACAGTTGTACTTTGTTAGAACTTACTCACTTAGCAGCCTTTCAGGTGTAGCACTTTCAATTTTAAAATGCTCTTCATTTTGTACCAATTCTTTTATGCTAAAATAGGAAACACTGCCTCCTGGCTCTTTCCCGACACTTGTACAAGCTTATTCACATCTGCTTCACAAATATATTGGCTTCTAAAGAGCACAGTGAGGCAGTGACAAGAGAAGACATATGTTGAAATGTACATTTTAAAAAGTTTTAAAATATGTGGTAATGTGTGTCCATGTTTTCTGCAAGATGCAACAATTTCCTTTGTTTCTTTCTCTCTAATAGTGCTTTTAATTTTCTCTAAATACTGCTATATCAGTTTAGGAAAGAGGAGGTAGAATAAATCTGTTTCCTTACTCATAGGAAAAAGAGAGTTTTAAATTTCAGGCTACCTAGTACAAGAACAAACCACCTCCATATACAGTTTGTGTTTTGCATAATTTGATTGTCTGCTTCAACCTGTTTCTTCTGACTTATGGCCTGTTTCTCTTTTTGTATTTCTGTTAACAGAAAGCTGACCTTGCAGTTGCACCCTTGGCAATTACCTATGTTCGTGAGAAGGTCATCGACTTTTCCAAGCCCTTTATGACTCTTGGAATAAGTATTTTGTACCGCAAGCCCAATGGTACAAACCCGGGCGTCTTCTCCTTCCTGAATCCTCTCTCCCCTGATATCTGGATGTATATTCTGCTGGCTTACTTGGGTGTCAGTTGTGTGCTCTTTGTCATAGCCAGGTAACATGTCAACTTTTGTGATTTTTTTGGCAATTGTTACCATTTTTTTCTTACTAATAATTGTCAAAAGTCACAAAAATTTTCTTTCATACTCTTATATTTAAACTTCATGATGTACAGAAGAATAATTAATGATGAGGGTTCTCACTATTAATATTCTACACTGCCCTACTAAGTGTCCAGTTTATGTCACTAAGTCCTGAGTATGCTAGCTAGCTTTCTTCTTTTATCTACAAATTTAGAAACACTAGAAAGTTTTCAAAGTAACTTTTCCCAATATGTTTGCGTTTAGAAACATAATTGACATGATCTATTTTGTTAGCCCAATTTCTTTTTATGCTATGGTGCTTAATCTCAAACTGAGTGCTTTGTTGCCCATGTTAATTCTAGATGTCCAAATTGGGCCTCTACGTGTATACAAAACAGTTTATGTAGATTAATATCTTAGAAGTAGGGTAACAGTAGTTAGTTTTTGGTTTTTTTTTTTTGTTTTTTTTTTTAATTATGTGCTATCCCTGAGATACCTCATAGAATTTAAAGTCTCAGAGTGGAATATATTTGGAAGCTTAGTTGAGATTTTGAAATTAAGGAGCTGAATACATTAATTATTAAATTATAAATTGATTTTATATAGCATTTTTTTATCTGTTTTCTTCAACACAGCCAAGCAGAAAAAAAAAATTTTCCTTGTTAATTTATTAAGCCTGAGTCCAGATGCTAACAGAAGTAGTCTTACATGTAACTTTGGCTCTTGTTGTGGCAACAAAAGAAAAAAATCAGGATAGTAAATCAGTGATTCCCGGGGTTATAAATTAACCTCTTTTGCAGATTCCTCCTAGTAGTCACTTGTAATTTTTTTTAATCAAGTGCATATAAACTATAATGTCTTTTATCTCTTAATAAGTTGGGGTCTTTTTGTTTGAGTTGATAATGCAATCTCACTTCAGTCCTCAGCTTCTTATGATTTCATTCTGTGGTTCACAGTAGAATCTTCATGTTTTTCTTTTTCTATTGTGCTGTAGTTAGTATCAGAATTCTCCATCTGTCTTTGATACTCTCTGTTTCATTTTAGAGAAGTTGTATCATTCCTCTACTAGGGAGAAGCAATATTTTCAGAAACCAGTTTAAAAGTAATTTAGCACCTGTGCATAAAGTACATGAAGTGTTGAAGTAATACAGATAACACAGAAACATATTGTGTAATGAATAACTTTGCTGTGTACCTTCTTCAAAAGTCTGCTTTAAAGAGCAAGACTTATGATGAAAGTTTCTTGAAAGAACAGTAGATTTAATGGACTATATAACCAGAGAGTACACTCATTTCTGAGGTTGTTCCTGTGATACAGATACCTCTGAAAGCACAGCTGAGCATAAATCACAACTTATCTTGTGAAATGCGTCATGTAAAATATTTATGTGTATGTCCAAAAGTTTTAACCCTACTGTTATTACTGAAGGACATATTCAGCATGATGCACAGTGCTTTTGACAGACAGCTCCCACTAATGTTAGTAAGAGTTGTATGGCTGAGTTCTTACTTGTGCTTTGAAAATATGTCTTGACATATTTTTTAGGAAAGATAGATTGTCCTGAAGCCCTTTTTTTTTAATTAAGCAATTCAGCCACTTGATTTCTCTAGTTGAACTAGAAATAATGTTTATTTTTATACAGAAGCACTAGATAGTAGACCGATACTGCTGAAATTTTTTTTCACTTGTTTTTGTAAACAGCAACATAAATTCCTTATATAATTGGAAACATTATTTCTATTGTAAAGCAATATGAAATATGTTTTATACTGAGTAGAGATTTGGTTTTTTGTAGAGTTGCATAAGATACCTTTTTTACACCTAAATTTATATTAGCCTTCAGATCTAGAGATTTTCAATAATTCTTAACTTGTACAATCAAATATTTATAACACATTTAGAAATAAAAGATGTAGGATTATGTAAGACAATCTACAGATTTTATTAATAATGCAGAATGACTTAATAGTATGTGATAGCATTTTCCAACATAATAGGGGAAACAGGTCTAAGTTAAAAATTTAATCTCCTGCTGAATACTAAACAAAGAGAAGAACATTATTCAAAAGTAAAAGAACTTTTGCAAATACAATTCACAAAATGCATCTGTCATGTAAAGAGAGATACTTTGAAGCGTGGTAGTGAAGAGGACTTTGCAGCATAGTGGTATGTATTTTCAGCACACATTATATGTTAGGTATTGCACCGCTGATGTATTTTTCAGTCCTAGTGTTGTGAAACTGTTGGACTGTATGCCACTAAATTAATAGCTTCCACCTAGAGTGTCTTATTAAGAAGATTTCTATTTCATAACAATCCTTCCATAATGAATGTTTAACTACCGGTGTTTCATAATAATTACTATGTATTTCATAATAAGGTGTACCTATGTTTAGAGCAGTACTTACTATGTCTTTTATGATACGATGTTTTATAATTACAGCTCACCAGAGTATTCAGTATAGAATATTTATTTTTAAATTTAAACCTCCCATTTTTTTGTCCAGTGTTTTGTGATTTTAATGTTTCACCACGTCTTCTAAACAATGTTGGAGTGTAAGAGGTTCATACATTGAAAATGGAAATTACCATTGTGCTACCTGGATTTCACTCAGTAATTAGCAATATGGTCATATTTAGGGAAAGATGAAGAAATTACTAAAAGGTTCAAGAATCTTTAAGAATGAATTGTTGAAAAGACTGCCAGAGAGTAATATATTAGGCATAAAAGGGGAGAAATGGAATATCAATCTTTATCAGTCTTTTTCTTTATTTGAAAGAGCATTGGATTTTCCTTCTGTTTTGAGAACCAGATATAAAGAGCCGGACTCTTTCCATGCTCTACAAGACAAAAAGCTAGGATAGATTTATGTGTTAACTGGAGAGCTTTTCTATTTCATTTTCCTCTTGTAGTTCCTCCCAAAAAGATGGTTCTACTTATGAAAGTGTAAATTTTGCGTTGTGGGTAGGAAGACCCTATATGTGTTGTACACAGTGTTTTCTTTAATTGTCATTCTTTGTGGGAGTTATAGTAGGCCGTGGTTTCTCCATAGATATAAAAACCTCTTAATCTTGTTTGTTCCAATTGTTGAATCTCAGTAGTTATGGTGGTTAGTCTCTAAAAATTCCTCTCTTTGTTGTATAGACTGATGACTGATAGATAAACCCAGTCTGCCTGACACTAAGCCTATTAATTTTCTGTGAACTGAGAAATTCGTATAACATTTTTTTCTCTTTTGACAACAGCAATAGATCTGTTTCTGATGCCAGATAGCAGTGTGTTTGTGTGTCTGCTAGGAGTGTCTTGTGTCATCTGAAATCTTGTGTTCCAATACCTTCCTGTTACGCCTCTGCCTTCACTTGTTTCTTTGATTTGGAATACCAGTTAAATTCACAGTTTACATGTGATTAGAAGGAAAAATAATACTGCAGTAAATTTTGCCAACTCCTTTTTGGAGTTCTGTCAAGTACACAACATTTTCTGATCTGTATAATGAGAAATCTCAAATAGTGGAATTTCTTTTTATTTCTGTCTGTTGGTGCAAACCATAGTTTCATTTCAAAGCAACATGCTGTTTTCTTGCAGTGTTGTATATCAACTTCATAGACACATATTGTTCCTTCTTTTTCATTAATCTGTGTACATGAAACAGACTTTTCCTAATTTTGGTCTCTGCAAAATCTAATGTGTTGGTAACTGAACATTTATCTTAGGCTTTTCTCTGTGAAGAAGCTTAGGAATAGCCTGCTGCTTCAAACTTGAACAGACGCCTGAGCATTATCTCTCTCTGGAGTGTATGCGTATTCTTTTACATCTCATTAGTCTTCATTTTTATTTTATATTTCTTGATCAGCTGATTTCTGTCCCTGAGCTTGTCTGATTGATTTTCAAGCTACTTCTTGAAAACTACCTTGATAGAAAGAAATGAGAGAAAACTACTTTTCCAGTTACTATGGAGCTCTCATTCTTATATTACTATGTTTATATTTATTCAAGTCGGAAGTTAGCATATTTACCCTTTATTCTTAACAAGCATTCTTCCTACGAGAATTATATCACCTGAGGTCTCCCTAGAGAACTATAGCATATGCTCTGAGATGTTTGCCGGAATAAATTCATCATCCAGTAAGGTAATCCAGATGTCAACCCTGAAATCTGCTTCTTTTACAGTCTTACAATATTAAGATAGTTTCACCTCAATTGTAACACAAAGATTTAATTTTGCCTCGGCTATAATGCAAGAGGGGATATTGTCACTCTACTATAAAATGCCGTGTAAGTAGACAAGGATAAAAGCATGCCAAAAATATCACACTTTCAAAAATTATTCCATAACAATTATTTCAAAATCAGAACATTTTATTTCTTTTAAACCAATTTGCAGTTTATGACCCTCAATTGATTGCTTCCAAAATATTCCATATAGTTGTCTTTTTTTCAAATAATTTTTTATGGTTGAAAAACAAGTCCTTGTTAATGCTAGACATATCTTTATTGTAAGCAGAAAGCAACTGTGCCAGCCTCTGGAACACTTGAGTTTTTTTGTCAACTGAACTAGGCACATTGCATGACAAGAATTTTTCTCTCTCTTTCATGGTTTTTTTAGCTTTTTTGTTAACTGATATGTTTGTGTAGCTATACCAAGAAATCCTAGTGTTATGTGAGAATGTTCTAAAAAGATTACTTGTTGAACTAAATATCTTCTCCTTTACATGAGACCTGGGAAATTTTAATTTTAGATCTCCATCATTCAAATGAAGTTTCAATAAATAAGATAATACAAAGACGATAATTCAATTATATCTTATATCTTATTTTTTTTGCACCATGGGCAAATTATTAAGCCTGTTTTTCACTTTTCCTTCTAAGTATTATAACAAGGTAATTGTACAGTCATCTTGCCTGGACAGCTGTAACTGGAAACTTTGTAGGCAACACTTGCCCATGGTGTTTCAAATATGTTCAGATAT